TATGTAAATGACCCATTCGATTGCAATAAGTGCAATGAAGAGGATGCATTTGGTTATGTTGACCATGTGGATGTGCACGAGGAACATTTGCAAGTAAAGATTTTCTTTTGAGATTATTTTGCAAATATGAAACATTATCAAAACAAAACTTTCCTAAGTGGTCATATCTACGACAAACATCACATTTAAACTTTTGTGGCTTAATAAAATCATTTGGCAAAGGAGATTTCTTTTTCAAATCATAGCAAAATTTTGCCAAATGGCCAAAACGTCCACAAAGATCACATCTATACACATGCGCATGCTTATGATGAACAATGGGTTCATGTGTGTGTACATATGATGAAGAAGCTACATGAGATGCACAAGGAGCATTGACATTTTTTTGTTTGTATGCATCATAGCAAAATTTAGCTAGATGGCCTTTACGGCCGCAAATAGAACACTTGTAAACTTTGCTATATATGTGTGCATGATGAGTAGATGATGACTTAGACTTGGCACACATATCCATAAGCTTCTTATGGTTGTCAAAGCATATTTTCAAAGTTGAATCTAAAGATGAAATGCATTTTTTCATAAGATTCAAGTCTTCAATTTTAGGCACATATGCACTTTTAGAAGTAGAACATAAATAGTTATTTATAAAAGAAGCAGTATCATTTTGTATGTTCTTTACTTCTAACATGGCATTATCTTTTTCATGAATTAACTTGGCAAAGTTTGAAAGCAAAGAATCATGATCCGATTTTAATTTTTCATTATTTTCTTTAAGGATCATATTTTCATTAGAAATAATATCAAACTTAGAAGTTAAAGACTCATGATCGGATTTCAAATTTTCATGCTTGCTATTTAAATTAATAAAATCATTTTGCAATTTCTTGTAGGCATGTAATAATTTATTACTAGCACAAGCAAGTTCATCATTAGGTAAATCATTAATAGTTTCGAACTCGCAAACCTCACTAGGGCTATCGCCTAGTGGCCGTGTACATGATGCTCCATATGAACTTGAAGCCGGATCCTCCAAAGCTTGGCGGATCGCCTCCAAGTCCCCTTGATGCGCTTCTATGAATATCCATAATGTATAAGCGCTATCAAAAGAATCAAGCTTGTTAGACATAAATGAATCAAATGCATTTAATAAAAATTCTAACATAAGCTTGTTCATAATAAACATCTTTTTATCATGTTTGCTCCACTTGGATTTCTCCAACGTGGGCACAATATAAGCACAATCAATGATTTCTCATAAATCGATATTTTTAGATTGAACAAATATTTTGAATCTAAAACACCATTGAGCATAAGGGAAAGCATTGAATTTAGGAGCAATACTAGAATCATAGCCTAAACAAGATGCATCATTCATATCCATAATTTGTAAAAATATGCAAGCAAGATACAAATATAATCAAAACAAGATTAGCACAAAGAGATAACTTGGATCTTTAACTCAAGGCGATTAGACCTTAAATCAAAGAGCACCAAGCTCTGATACCAATTGTTAGACCCTAGAGGGGGGGTGATTAGGGTCTTATGCTAATCTAATCCGATTAAATGCCAATTAAAACAAATTAACAAGTTATCCTAGCAAGAATGAAATACCACAATGTAAATGAGCTAGGATAAGCAATGTAAACAGCAATGAGACATATCCTATATGATGAATATATATATATTAAAGATGAACAAATATAAGTGTGCTAAGCCAAACTCAAACAAGCAATATGATCACGGAGTTCGGACCTTCCGTCCTACGTCTCCGCTCCCCACTCCCGGGGAGAAAACTACTATCACAATCCGATTTGGAAGCCGGAACTTCTACACACTCGGTTTACAAGCTTACCGAAAACTCTCACACAACAAACACTATACAATCACACTCTACACCCTCACAAGTGTTGGACCTAGCCGTGTCTCCCTCAAGTGCTCGGTTACAACCTCTCCCTAGGTTCGTCAACCGACGCCACTCCTCTTGGGACGATCCCCGACTCTCACCACACACTCCTCTCGGTGTACAAGTGTATTACAAAGTATATCCTCACAATTAGGCTTAATATAATAAATGTTTGTTCTCTACTATGGATGAGAACACAATGAAAGCTCATACTCAATTGTTATAATTCTCACCAACCTAAATATACTATGTATGAAAATACAATAAGCTCAATATGGGTGTGTGTAACAATGAGATAATATAATCAAATCTAAACTCAATATAAAAACTAGCTTTAAAGAAAGATAATCAAATAACTAAGCAAATGTAAGGCTAGATAAGAGTTTAGAAAACTTCTCAATAGATTAAGAGGTGGAGGGAGAATAGTTAAAAGCTCAAACTTTAATAGATGATCTCCTCAAGCTCTTGTGGAATTTTCTTCACAAACAAACTCTTGAAACAAACTTAAAAACCCTTCAACAAACTTGTAAAACTCTTTTTAAAACTCTCTTAAATATCCATAAGAAACAATAAAAGTTGAGGGCTTTTTATAGCCTCTTAAACCAGCCACAAACCCCCAAAAACCGAAAATATCAAAAACTAGCCGTTACTAGCCGTTATAGGCTGAAAAGACCAAAATACCCCAAAATCCAGCATTCTGGAAATTTGCGTATCTGACTTTGTAAAATCAATTAAAAATAGTAAATAAGCTCCAAAAAATATGAAATTTTGTGGGAAGGTTTTATACATGTAGAATGAAATGTTAGAAAAGAATTTTTGAAAAAACATTTCCCAGTTGAGATAAATAAATGTTTGAACACAGATTTACAGTTTCTGAAAAACTGCAGACATACACGATTTTGTAAAATCAATTGGGCACAGTAAATCAACTCCAAAAATAGTAAAATTTTGAGAGCAATTTCTAAACATGTAGATAAACATGTCAAAGAAAGAATTTCTTGAATACCACTTCCCATTTATGAAAACGCATCTGTTTTGTAAAACATGTACGAACATGTGCACGAACAAAAACATGATTTTGTAAATTCCATTAAACATAACAAATCAATTCCAAACTTGATGAAACTTTGCAAAATGTTTTTAAACATGAAAACAAATATGTTAGAAAAAGAATTTCTCAAATTAAATTTCCATTTGTGAAAGCTCATGTATTTTGTAAGTGTGTCCAAAGCATGAAAACTCAAAACCATGCATGTATATATATAACTATATATATACATAGAAACCAAATACGTGTGTGTATATGATATTGAGCTTAAGGTACTTAACACACATAATATAAAATCTAAATTAGATTACCCAAGCTTGATTTTGATCTTCATTGTAGCTCAACTTGGTACACATGCGGATGAAGCCGACATTCCACCAACCTCCATTTGATATGATCGTTATGGCGCAATCAATCCATCCTCCAACTCGTTGTTTGCCTAGAATAAATACGAAAACACAAACACTAGACAAACAACATTAGTGGTAAATTGTTTGTTAAACATCATCAAAACAAGAAGGCTAACAGGTGGACATTTATATCTTTCAAAGTAATTAGCCAAGGTGTGTCTGCTATTTGGTGTCAATTGACATATTAATTTATAAACCTCTCTTTCAAAGTAATTAGCCAAGGTGTGTCTGCTATTTGGTGTCAATTGACATATTAATTTATAAACCTCATGTATAGGACACATGCGTTGCATAACAAGCTAGATTAATTACTAGTCAAAAATAATTAATAGCAATTAATCAATTACGTTAACTAATTAATTTTAACAATTAATTATTATAATTGTCCGATAAACAGTAATGAATACTAACAGGCATCCCGAATTAATTTTAAGTGAACCGTAATTCATATTTTTTAAGATAAACAGTAAATTTCAGATTAATTGCAGCAATTAAACAAATGTTGTAACTAAAATAATCACTATAATTAACAGAAATTCGGATGAACATGGATTTTTTTCTCGTAACGAACAGTAACTTCCGAATGAACATTGACTTTTTTATTTTTATTTAATTATTTTATTTTATTCTAACTTTTGGATTTAAAATAATAGCTATAAATTAACCAATCTTCTAGATTGTTGGAAAAATTATAAAAACAAAGGTTATAGCATGTAAATTAAATCCGAATAAAAATAAATAATTAAATTTGGCCTGATTGAGAGCAGTCGTGCAATTACTGCTCTATAAGATTAAGTACCCGCCTATCGCCCTGGCGCAGATGATCCCCTCTCCCCTAGCGGTAAAACCCCCCGGAATCGGCCGGTCTCTGTACTCGTGCGAGAGTACAGAGCTTCTGCTTAGATGAAGAAAGTTGCCCAAAAATAAAACAAATACTATGAAGAAACAATATGATGAGGAGAGAAGAGACTTGTTGTTTTCCTTATCAAAACCGAGCTCAACATACGACTATATATATATTGTGTTGGAAAGAGACGTTACAAAACCCACAATTAATACGGCAATGTTCGTCATAAATTTTATAACGTTTCTCATAATTATATAACCGTTACACATATTTTTAATTGCTAATTAAAACATGTTTTAATTACAAAAATTTATTACTATTCATGAAGGCAAAATTGTCTTTTCTTAACAAAATATCTAGCACTATATAAACTGCATCTTTATGCAAAACAAAGTTTGTAATGGTTTGTGAATGAATAAGTTCACTGTTTCTGAGAGCATACAAAAAGTTAGATTGTTAAACATATATATGTACTAGTAGAAACGGTATAATAAAACATTAAGATTTATATACACATACAGAGCTTGGATATTTAAGACCTACTAGTAAGATTATTACTCTAGATACATTTAACACAAACATCTGAATAAATAAATATAAATATTCCGAGGCAAAGAACCAAAACAAAAATAAAGTACCCACAAATAGTCTTCGTCAAACAAAAATTAGGCCCCTCGCTACCATCACCAACCCCTTCGATATGCTGACGTGTCACGTCTCCTCTCTCCCACCAACCCCCTCCCTCCCTATATATATCCCCCCCCTCAACCTTCAACATGACTCAAACTTAACTAACAGGAGCTCCCCCTACAACAGCTCCCATATCTCTCTCTCTTCAGTTATCTCATCCCCTTCAATCAAAATACCATGTCTCACGTTAATGGCAACGGCGTCTGCGTCGCAGCGGACCCCCTAAACTGGGGAGCAGCGGCGCAGTCGTTATCAGGGAGCCACCTCGACGAAGTGAAGAAGATGGTGAAGGACTACAGAGAGGGTCCGGTGAGGATTGAAGGGGCAACACTGAAGGTGGCTCACGTGGCGGCGGTGGCGGCCGGAGAGGCAACGGCGAGGGTGGAGCTAGATGAGTCAGCACGGGCCCGGGTGAAGGCGAGCAGCGATTGGGTGATGGAGAGCATGGGGAAGGGGACTGATAGCTACGGGGTGACCACTGGTTTTGGTGCCACTTCTCATAGGAGGACGAAGGAAGGGGGTGCTCTTCAGAAGGAGCTCATTAGGTAACTTAATTGGTTTGTTAATTAGTTTTAATTTACATGGGTTGGATGTGGGCTTGGTTTTATGATTTGTTTGTTAGAGTGGTAAGTTTTAATTTACATGGAAACCCCTTGGCATAGCTTATGTTTGTAGTTTCATTTTTTGCAGATTAACTCTTTTGTTTAAATTGTTTATGACTCTCTCGATGAAATTTTGGCTGACATGGTCCTGTTTTGAGTTATGATTTTCACTTGGATTTCTTACACGGGTCCTACATTACGTGGCTGACGGAATATTCCTTTATGCAGATTCCTCAATGCTGGAATCTTCGGCTCCGGCCCGGAATCCGGCAACACATTGCCGGCTCCGGCAACAAGGGCGGCGATGCTGGTCCGGATAAACACCCTCCTCCAGGGCTACTCGGGCATCCGGTTCGAGATCCTCGAGGCGATAACTCGCCTCCTCAACAGCAACATCACTCCCGTCCTACCTCTCCGGGGAACCATCTCCTCGTCCGGCGATCTCGTTCCTCTCTCCTACATCGCCGGCATGCTCACTGGCCGCCCCAATTCAAAGGCCGTCGCCCCTGACGGGCGCACCGTCGATGCCACCGAAGCCTTCAAGCTCGCCGGAATTGACGGCGGATTCTTCGAATTGCAACCAAAAGAAGGTCTAGCTCTCGTCAACGGGACTGCGGTCGGGTCTGGTCTCGCTTCGACTGTCCTCTTCGATGCGAATGTGCTACTGGTCCTATCGGAGGTCCTATCGGCGATGTTCTGCGAGGTTATGCAAGGGAAGCCGGAGTACACCGACCACTTGACTCACAAACTAAAACACCATCCAGGACAGATCGAGGCCGCCGCGATCATGGAGCACATTCTCGACGGAAGTTCATACATGAAGATGGCGAAAAAGTTGCACGAACAAGACCCGTTGCAGAAGCCGAAACAAGACCGTTACGCTCTTCGAACCTCGCCACAATGGCTCGGTCCTCTGACTGAAGTTATTCGAGCGGCAACGAAGTCGATCGAGCGGGAGATCAACTCGGTCAATGACAACCCACTGATCGACGTGTCGAGGAACAAGGCGCTGCATGGCGGGAACTTTCAGGGGACGCCAATTGGAGTGTCGATGGACAACACGAGACTGGCGATCGCCGCCATAGGAAAGCTGATGTTCGCTCAGTTCTCAGAGCTCGTCAACGACTTCTACAACAACGGGCTCCCGTCGAACTTATCGGGCGGGCGAAACCCTAGCTTGGACTACGGGTTCAAGGGCGCTGAGATCGCCATGGCATCGTACTGTTCAGAGCTCCAATTCCTCGCAAATCCGGTGACGAACCATGTCGAGAGCGCCGAGCAACATAATCAGGATGTGAACTCGTTGGGATTGATCTCTTCACGGAAAACCGCAGAGGCTGTGCAGATACTGAAGCTCATGTCGTCGACGTTCTTGGTCGGGCTTTGTCAAGCCATCAATCTCCGACATTTGGAGGAGAACTTGAGGAGCACGGTGAAGAACACGGTGAGCCAAGTCGCAAAACGGATTCTAACAGTAGGAGTCAACGGGGAGCTCCACCCGTCAAGGTTCTGCGAGCTGGACCTAATCAAGGTGGTCGAGCGCGAGCCCGTCTTCGCCTACATCGACGACCCATGCAGCGCGACATATCCACTGATGCAGAAGCTGAGGCAGGTTTTGGTCGACGCCTACATCGACGACCCATGCAGCGCGACATATCCACTGATGCAGAAGCTGAGGCAGGTTTTGGTCGAACACGCTCTTACCAACGGGGATAAAGAAAAGCCGGTAAACACCTCGATTTTCCACAGGATCGAGGAGTTTGAAGATGAGCTGAAAGCATTGCTGCCGAAGGAAGTCGAAGGGGTGAGGATGGCCTTCGAGAATGGGAGGTTGTCCATACCAAATAGGATCAAGGAGTGCCGGTCATATCCTTTGTATCGGCTCGTGAGGGAGGAGCTCGGGGCTGAGTATCTAACTGGAGAGAGGGTGAGGTCGCCGGGAGAGGAGTTCGACAAGGTGTTCAATGCGATTTGCGGCGGAAAATTGATCGACCCATTGCTTGAGTGTTTGTCGGAGTGGAACGGGGCTCCGATTCCTATCTGTTAGATTTGAATTTATTTGATCCGACTAAGATTTGTTGTTGTTGATGTTGTTGAGGTTTATGAGGGTGTAATGTTAGATAAGTATTTGATTCTTCTTTGCTCTCCAACTTGTTGAGCATTATGTTGATTGATGTAGTTGCAAAATGTAGGTCATATGCAGTATGAATGATTATGAAATTGTTCATCTTGATGAGTGGAAGATCTCTTAATCCAGTCTTATATTTCTTGGATACCTTGTAAATACTGGGCTTAAGTTTGGAAATAATAATCCATTCTACCAAAATAGGACCCTCCACAAAACTAAAGGAGTACGTATGAACTTAAAAAGTTTTGATCATCATGGTCACCACCTGAAGAATTAAGGATTTGAATTTTAAGGTGCAAATCTTTTGTAAATTAAGTAGAATGAAAATCTCTAGCATAGCTACATCTAAGGAATATCTAAATGCATTTGGAGGAATGTGATATTGGCCATTGATACACTTGGCTCTGAAGAAGAAGAGAATATTCAAAAGATTAGTAGTTCTATGACCTAGGATTATGGGTAAATACATTATCATATAAGTGACAAGATGCACCTCTTCTACAATTTATGCATCATTTTGCAATGATTTCCTGCTAGGAAACTCCCAAACTCAATTGTTCAGAAGACATAATAATGGAGATTCTTCAGCCCATTGATTGTTAGTGAGCCCACGAAGCCCATTTAACTTTGTGCCTATTATATTTTTAATGGACCCTGGCCTAGCTTACGGGAAATAAACGGAGTTTGTATAAATTTTACAGTATGTGAAAAGGCAGTTAAGAGGGGTTTTGTGCAGAGAGGGGGTCCACAATATTTGAATTAAGCTTACTGAGGTCCTCATTATTCAAACCATACCTCTTACCGCGATTAAAAAAAAAGACATTATACCTCTTACCTTATACATAATGTTGAAAGAGAGTAGGAAGAGAGGAATCTAATATTTTCCTTTTTCTGTTTTAACGACACCAAAACTTAATTAGTAATCATAGTGAAAGTTGGGATTACAATTTTAAAGTCACATTTCGATTTGAACTTGGATTTTCTATGATACCAAAGTTGTAATGATGATTGTCTAACCTTTGGAAAATGTGCTATTTTCCTTCACTTCACAAGATCAACTAACACAGGGAAGTCGTCATGTGAAAACCCTTGGTATGGCAATCAAAACTCAAAACTTCTTGCTAATAAGAGTAATATCTTGATCATTTCACCAAAATATTTTGGGTGTGAACCTAATATAGAACCCAACATGCAATGTACAAAGATTCATGATCGGAGTAATCTGTTTGTAATCCGTCACACAATAAGGAGTGGAATTGGAATCGTGCGAAACTAGAGCATAAGAATTTGAAGAAAAAAAAAAGAAAAACAAAAAGGGAACTTCGAAGAATTCAAACGTTGATCAGAATCTTCACTCAAGTTAGTGAAGCTAGAATACTACAATCTTCATAATATACAATACACAAATGTTAACCAATTCCTCATTGCAGAACTTAACACTCATCAAATTACAATCGTACCATCAACGCCCTATTTTTACACCAACAGCAGGGATAATACACGACATCACTATTTAACTTCCGTGGGTCTACCAAGACGTATTGTATGAATTGATTTATTCCATCTTTATATCGACTATCCCTCCATCTACCAATACGAGAAATATCGATCCATAATTTGTCGGGAACTATCCTCATCTGTATGATATTAAGCAAATATTATTCATTAATGAAATTAAGCATAATTAGGTAATGTGAATTTTTATTAGTAACGCAACAAGTTAACAGTTGCGTGATATTAACTTTTTTCACAACATCAAGGAAATTCAAATTATAATAATCTCGAAGGAAAAATTGCTAGAACATAAATTATGTAGGAGTAAAATCTAACGCTCATATTTTTAATAAGATAATTTAACGGCTGTCATAGGAAATGGACCTATCCCATTAGGAATTTAGTAGTGTCCACAACTACTTTTATATACTTTATGCATTTTTATTTCTTAAAAATTTCGACAGCATCTACCCGCTGTTCTCCGAGTACACTGTGCGGATGTTATAATGCATATCAATCATCGATAATAGATCAATTATAGATCGATACGCAAAACAACATACACTTATTGTACATGGAGAACAATACGGTACGTGTTGTCGAAATTTTTAAGGAATACAAATGCATAAAGTATACAAAGATAGACGATACACTACTATATTCCTAACCTGTACGAGAAGATGACTCCTCCCCGGACAGATCTAATAATTATTGCATGTAAATCATGCTCCTAACATAAATCACGTTATTTTCTTTAGATGTAAAAAGTATTTTCACATCCAATATTGACGGGAAACTAGGGGTAACGACTTTCGATTCATAAAATCATGATATTTAACACAATACAATCTCGATATATCTAACTAAATTAAATGCATCAATTACTAATGAACATAAATACAAATGAAGCGTTTTTATTCCATAAATACAAATGAACATACTAATTATAAATGCATATAATTAATATGAACTTTAAAATAACTTGGAAATTAATGGTTTCTTTCAATAGCAGCTACTTGTTTGCAAAATTTGAGTCAACAGAAGCAAATGAAACAATATGTTAATTGTTGCGATCGTGTCTAGTCGTAGAAAGTAGTAGTACAACCCTTGTGATATATTTATCATTATTCATTAAACAGACATGTAGCTTAATTAATCTATAAAGAATATGTCTTTTCTATCAACACCCAAGAAAATTTTATAATTGCATATGAAGCTCTGAAATCTTAATATTTTCACCAACGCATTAATACCTTACTTTGGCGGAAATCAGCTCCATGTTAAATTTCATATTTTACCTATATTTATATGTTAGACAGGGAATATTTTCTCTATTATTTTAAGAACTTAATTAACTCATGAGGAATAACTTCAGCGTATTCCTCAAATCAATAATAGAATTAGGAATTAAAAAGCTTAATTTGAAATAAACTTATGAGAACTAGAGGATCTAATAAAAATTTACATGATCATTTGAGGAACCGGTTTTCCTCTAATTGCTACTTTACTATTGATTGAAGGGGCTAATTCAAAATAACTTAAGAATTGAAGATTTAATAGTAATTTTAATGATTTGAGAAACTAATTTCAAATACCTTACGGATTGAGGGACCTAATAGAAATTTTAATGATCTAAGTGACAAATAATACCTTGAGTGACCGTTGGACGCGGCGATGGACATGATGGCGACGGCGGTGGCCAAAGGGTGAGAAGCGACTGCTGGAGACAGCGGCGGCGACGTCAGCGACGACGAACTCAGGCGGCGACGACGAACTAAATAAAACGACTGGCTCTGTGTGGTAAAAAAATCTAGGCTGTAAAAATTAATATATATCCAACATCGCTGACGGGCTTCCCGTCAGCGATGTGCATTTCCCGTCAGCGATGTTTTATCCCTGACGGTATCGAAAACATCGCTGACGGCAACATCTCTGACGGTTTTTCCCGTCAGAGATATAAACATCGGTGACGGCTATTTCCCGTCAGCGATATAAACATTGGTGACGGTTATTTCCCGTCAGCGATGTTGCCGTCAGCAATACCTATTTTTCCACTAGTGTTTGTCTAGTGTTTGTGTTTTCTTATCTATTGTAGACAAATAATATGTTGGCGGTTAGATGGAATTGCGCTTCAACGATCATATCCAATAGAGGTTGACGGAATAGTGGATTAAAGCTTTGCAAGTCTAGTTGAAGATCCAAGTTCAAGCTTCGTCCATATTACCAAGATAGAGCTTCATGAAGATCGTTGCTTGGTAAATTAGTTTAGGCTTTATATTATGTTTGTTTAGTACTTTAAGCTCAATATCATATACACACATATTTTTATTGGTTTCTATATATATATATAGTTATATATATACACAAGTTTTGGTTTTTGGTTTTCAAGTTTATATATAAAACAAATGAATATAATTGGAAAATACATTTTTGTTTCATGTTTGTACATGCTTATATATGATTTCATAAATATTAAGTTTATTTAGTCAATGAAATCATGTTTATTGCAAAATATGTAAAACATTGTGTTTTTAGTTTATACACTTAACAACAATAGTTTATATCTTTTATCAAGTCAATAAAATTATTTTATAAAGTTTTAAAAGTTTGTTTAAATCAATATGTCAAAAACATGTATGTTTAGTTTTCATGTTTTTGGACATTTTTACAAAATGACGATATTTTACAAATGGGAGGTGCTTTTTAAAAATCAGTTTTTGTAACATGTTCATTTGCATGTTTACAAGTATTCCCCAAAGTTTTACATGTTTTTGATTTTATTTGTTATTTTTAAAAGATGTTTGAAAATCAGTTTTACTGTTTCAATCAGGCTGATACAGTGTTATCAGTCGACTGAAGAAAACGCCTGGAATAAGCAAAAGTTTATGTTTTATTCTGGTCGACTGACTAGTCGACTGATGAGGTCATCAGTCGACTAATCCTGTTCTTCAGTCGACCGATGAGCTGCCAGTTTTCTATAATGGTCAGCTCATCAGTCGACTGATTAGTCGACCGACGGCATCATAACGACTAGTTTTTCAGAATTTTTAGTTTTCGTTATTTTGTCTTTTTGTGATGTTTTTTCTTGGTTTTTGGGGTTGTTTCATGAGCTATATATACCCCATGCCCTCATACTTCTGAGGTTAATGAAGAAAAGTTTTAAAGGGTGTTTAAGTTTTGTTCAAGTTGGTTTCAAGAGTTTGTTTGTGAAGATATTTTCACAAGAGGAAGTGGAGATCAATTCTTGGTGTTTGAGCTTCAATTCATCTCTCCTACTCTTGTCATTTTAGAGAAGTTTTTCTAAACTCAATTTCTAGCTCAATTCATCTCTCCTACTCTTGTCATTTTAGAGAAGTTTTTCTAAACTCAATTTCTAGCTTTATATTTATATTGTTTATTGATTATCATCTCTATAAGCTAGATTTTTATAATTGAGTTTAGTTTGTTTTGATTATACTCTTTGTTCACACACATCCTATTGAGCTTATTGTATTTGCATACATCGTATAATTTGGGTTGTGGGTTTGTGACTTAGAGAGTGAGCCTACATTGTTTTCTCATCCATTATAGAGAACAATTTATTTGTATTAAGAGCTTAATTGT